GTGTCTGCCCGCTCTGCGGGGAGGCCAGGCTGTTCCCAATGCCCTTGCCCGCCTTCGCCACCCCCCACCGATCCGCCAGGCAGGGTGGTGCTCAGGATTTCACTGTCAGTAGTCACTGCATTGTAATGTCTCTAAAACCATTGCTTCTGAGCCTAGTGGCGTACTTCATTTTTTAATGTTGCATTTTGTTTTTCCGGGATTAGCAGTTGCCCTATACTTATACTTGCTTGTTTTCTGTCTTCATACTTGATTTTTTTCACTGATCCCAAAGATCCGCCATGGGCACGGCTCCTTTCCTCAGGTGCTGTGTGAGGCTGCCCGTCCGGCCGCCGCCCTGACCGGCCAGCAGGAGGCGCAGTGACACAGGCTCCTGGCTCTCCCTTTTTTGTTTATTTGCTAAGTGAGATGCATAGGCCAGTGTCTTCCTAAGCAGGGTTCACGGGAAGGCGTTTCCTGAGCCCTTCTTACAGGTACATGGCAGAGTGTCTACTCTCCCATCACACTCGGTCGATACCTTGAAAGGTATGAGATCTGGGCCATTTCCCCCGCCGGGAAGCCCTCGCGCTGGTTTTTGGGTTCGGTGTTGCTGTTGAGGAGCCGAGTCCGCTCTGACACTCTGACACCAGCCTCTCCGTGGGCCGCCTGCGCTGCCAGGGTCCCCTGGCTGGGCCCCGAGCCATCTCACTGAATGAATGAGGTTTCTCTCCTCCCTCCCTTCCCTTCTCTGGAAACATTGGGTGCCGGGAGCCGGTCCATCCTTGCTGTTTCAAGGGACCTGGCGTGTATGGCATACTGTTCTTAATATGTTTGCTCACCTTCTTGGCGCTATGTGTTTTAACCAAGGTCACCTCTCCGAGAAAGGTTGTTTCCCCAGGTGGGGATTTTTCCCTGAGGTTAGGGAGGGGATACAACCCCTTAATTAAGTGCCAGGCGGGTAGTTAAGCTACATAATCTTTACTCCCTGGAATGGAGATAAGAAATGCCCTAACCTTTGTAATAGAAATTGACAGGATTAAAATCGGCTGGTATAAATACGGATGTAACAAGACAATAAACATCAGATCCTGATCAGTTCCTAACCAGAACTCGGACCAGAACTTTGGCTGGAGATCCTGGCTAGAGGTCCTGACTAGGCTGCTGATCAACTGAAGGCTGTCTTCGTGTCATTCCTTCTTCGCCGACTCCGTCCACACCTTTGGGGACCCCTGGACCCGCTGGGATTGGACCCCAGCAAGGGAGAACCTCAACTATGCTGATCAACTGAACGCTGACCCCATGTCATTCCTTCTTCGCCGACTCCGTCCACACCTTTGGGGACCCCTGGACCCGCTGGGATTGGACCCCAGCAATTGGGCAGCCCGTAGACTGCCTGGATGGGCAGGCCTGCTGGAGGGTGTCAGCGCAGGAAGAAATGTGCTCTGGGCAGAGACCCTCCTGTGTCCTGGGGGCGGGGGGGGGGGGGGTGGTTAGCCAGTGGCAGGGCCAGGGCCACCTTTCGCACGTGCACAGCTGTTTGCCCTGCCCAGGTCCTCTGAGCTGTGAGCACCCCCCAAAGAATGTCGAGGAGGTCTCATCCCGGCCAGAGCCGCCTGGGTGTGGGGGTCCATCCGTGGGGTCTTTCCCG